CCCCTTCCCTGGCTACACACCCGCAACGCGTACGCGGTCATTATACACGCACAGATGAACACACGACTGCAATGAGGCAAAGTAAAGCCCCACACGCAGAAGCAACGTGTGTCGGCGACGGGAGAGGGCGGGGGATGGCGCGGTGCTGTGAGGAAGGGCCCCTCGGCAGCATGGCGCGGGAGCCGTCCCTCAAGGAGCGAAGTATGCCCCTTCGCTGCCCCAGCCAGCGGGGCAGGGGGAGCCAAAAATGGCAGATTAAAGGAAAATCGGAAAGCAAAAACCAGAAATGCGCAACCTTTTACGTGTACGAGCTTGGAAACATTAACCAGCCACACATTGAGAGCTGCCAGCTCCGGAGAGGGCAAAATCCTGTATTCCATCAAAATCCTGTGTGATTTTGTACTGATTTTCATAACTTCATATGCACCAAACTCACCGGTAATGCCTTCCTGAGGTGGGGGAGACTGAAGCTGGCTGGAGGTGCAAGGAAGGAAAAATGGGTTGACTGGGTGTGACAGGGGAATGTGGGTTTCAGGGCCTGTCCTGATACAAATCAGTATTTGTAATTGATTTTTCTTTCAAAACAAGCTGAGAACCTGACCCTCGGACACGGGTAGGCACTCCTGGATGGGTGGCTTCATTTTTCCCTTGGATCAGGTCTTGTCCCAGCCGTGCAGTTGGTCTGCGTTTCCGCAGCGTGGCCGCAGGAGGAGGCTGCAAAGCTGCCGTGACAAGGACTGTCGTGGGCAGGTTGCCGGTTTGGTTCAGCCATGTCCTATTTCAGCCCACAAAATGAACCGGTGAGAGAAACACCATGGCAAAGCTCAGCTCTGTGATCCTGCTAGCCATTTCCATCCCCTCCGGCCAAGGGAAAACCAGGCATTACCAGGTCAATCAGCCAGTGCTTGAAATTAGTTTTAATTTTAACTACCTGGATAATTTTTAACAATGCTTTCAGGAGTAGAGAGTATAATTAGATCGGTACTCTTCACTGGTTCCTTATTAAAGAGTCTTCTTTCCTTTTAACTTACCTCTTGAAGTTTTTTTGAATGTCTGTAAATGTTAAAACCGTCTCTAAGCTGACACACTGTGCCCTTTGGCAATGAGGGGTTACGTGGTCCTAGGTCACGAATAACAGTCCTCGGATTTCCTAATGCTCCCAGAGACTGATCATGCTCCCTTCAGTTTACGTATGCAGCGTGTCTTCACAACACTAGACATACTACTTCAAAAACCAATTTTTGACTGGTTAAATAAAAGGAATGTTTTTGTGGTACAAGATGCTTCAACTCATGGAATTACTTTACTATGAAATAGGATGGAGAAGAACATCCCAGAGTGAAAAACGAGTTCAAGGACAGTTATCGTAAAGAAAGCTAGCATTTTCAGGTTACACAGAATATAAATTTATCAACTGATACAAAAGAGGTCTTGGTGAAGACCAAGACCATTTCTACTCAATGAAAGAACTTCCATTTGACAATGAACTAACATTATGCAGACAGTGAAACAGATCCTGATGAAGGAGATCAGACTCATCATGATTTCTTACAGGCTCAAATGATGACTTTTTTTTAAGAGCATGATTTGTGAAAAGATATTTTTAAGGAAGAAATGCATATAGTGGTGTACAAGCGGAGTCACAGATCCAGGTGAATCTCACTTGCATTTCATAAAAGCTTGTTTATACCATTATATATGTGTAGGAGAACAGATGTGAACAGTGAGCTATACCTTGTGTTGCTCCCTGGAGGACCAAGCTGAAGAATACGGAAGAGGTCAAATGACAGCAGCGTAGCAACCTGTTATCAAGGAAAAGCCCAAATACAAAAGTACTTGTCTTTTTGAACTAAAATAAGTGTTCTACATTTGAACAAAGAGTGAAAGGGGTCAGTAGAGTCGAAGTTACATGATAACAAAGGATGTTAGCAAAAGTCTTAACAAATTTTCAAGCAACCAACCGAGCAGATGGAGAAGGAATGGGAACTGCTGGTGGTAGCTTAGGAGCTGTCTGGTATGCTATATATAGTTTGCTTTCTGTTATGATATGGTACATATCAAAATAAGTAAGCACAAGATTAAAGTGTTACACATATTATAACCAATTGTGACACATAATAATGATATTGAAATAGTGTCCTGAAGACCTACATATAGATATTTAAGTGAAAAGTGATTGTATTTGAGTACCATTGCTAGATAATAAGTAACTTAATTTGACAGCGGTGCTTTAATTAGCCAAGCGGATGTTTTCATTGATTTCATTGTGCATTACTTTGCTGTTTGAAGTTTTGCCTGTTTCTTCCTTGTAGATACGATGTTGAGAATCCACTAGATAAAATCCTTCCATTCAGAAAACATCATCACAAAAGTGAAAAATGCCACACAGGGACAATACACAACAGCCACTTACCCTCTGAGGGGGATAAGGAGTTAAAAGATAGTCGAGAAGATTTAAAAGCAGCAACGATTTCTGAGGAGCTGAAATCCACAGTGAAGGAGAAGCCGAGGCCCAGGTCTGGTCTTATTGTCAGAGGAATGATGGCTGGACCAGTAGCAAGTTCACCAGAGGTGATTTCCAACATTTACAAAAAATTTGGCTTGGCCATGGATTTTATATCTAACCACCTGCGATAAAGTTATTTGCAAATAATATTAAAATGACTTCTGCATGCTAATCCATTAAATCTGCAGTCTGAGAATATGTGGTAAGTTAGGGAAGTGGTTCTGGTTAATTTAGAAATTCAAACTGTTTCAGATATAACCACTACACGCAACTACCTCCCGCATGTCTGTGATCTTAGGTTACAGAATTTCTTTATAAATCTTTTCCATTCTTGATATCTCTTGACAGATGGGATTTTCCATTTTCCTAGGAAAATTGCTTTTTAACCTTAGCAGTATGTACAGCTTTCAAAGTTTTCTTAGCCATGGGTATCTGTTTTACTCAGGTTTTTCCAAAACCCCACATTTAATCAGTAGCAGTTTGGAGTTGAAAATTACTTTCAGTTAGAAATACGTTTCTAAATTGGTCCAATCAGACCATATTCCATCAGTTAAGTGTTTTCAAAACAAAGTTCTAAAATTCTTGCCTCTTTTTTTTTCCCTCATGCTGCTTTTATATAGACAGGAACTTTCCCTGTGTAAAATTAGGCTTGTAATAGTGAGCAGTTGAAATATTTTAAATACACCCTTTGGATAATGCTGAAGAGAATATGGAAGTTAAATGAATTAGTTGGATTTTTCTAAATATCTCTGATTTGGAAATAAAGACTGGATACCTCTAGTGGGCAGTCTTTCCAGTAAAATGTCTTATATGTCTTGGTTTCCTGAGTTGGGTACAACCCGAAAATTAAGCTTTAACAAGGTATTTTGTTGATGTTCTTGGGTAAAAAAACCAGTAGTTTTTAATGGTAAATAACATCTTTAATACTGTTCAAATTTTAAGTAAAAGTGTATGTCTGTCCTATTTATTATCAATTATTTAAAAATCTGATTTACTATATAACCCGATTCGTAATAATAAACAAATTGCTTAGCCCAGAAATTAGTGATAGAGCTTTCCTTTGCTTTTCATGTTTATTTAAAGATGCTCAAATTTTAGTCTGTGGTTTTAATGGCACTTATTTCTAGGATCTGCAAAAAAGGCGGCTTTCAAAACGATCCACTAGCATAAGCAGCACAGCACAGTTCAAGGGTGAGGAACATGAAGAAAATTACCTGAGTGTCCCAAGTACTGATTTTCAAGAAAGCAAAGGATCTTCGATACAAGTGAATATGGAGTTTGCATTAAGGACTATGTCAAGCTCACACACAAGTTCAGCCTCTGAAAAACTAAGAAACATCCCCAAAGATACAGATGACTCTTTTGCCAAACTACTGTCTGAAAGAGAGAGGACCAAGACAGAAGAAAGAAAATCAGTTCCAAGCCTTGGTACAGACAGCAATGAAAAAAGCCTTAAAGTGAGTGCCCCTCACAGACATTCAGGGGCTGGAAGAGAGAAGAGAGAAAGATCCCTCAAGAAAAATGAGAGTCAGTTGTCAGGCCACAGGTAAGAATGTTTGTAAGAATATTACACTAAAACATTGAGGAAATCTGGTGGAGGACTAGGAGTGACTGATATGCCTTCTGATTTCACTGAGGGGAAGTAGCTGGAAGGTGTGAAGATAGTGAAAGGCAGAGAAGTTTTAAGATTTAACTTACTCACTTTTGACATGCCAAACCATTCAAGGTTCCTTTCTTGGTCAGTGGAGAGACCCTGTTGTTGCTGGTTTATCTTTACTGCTTCAAAAGGGAGCTAGTTACTAGTTCAGACTTAGACCGCTTAGACATCTAAGCAGTACAGATGACTCCCACCTGTGGAGGTCATCTGCAGCGTTCCACAGAGACATTGCTCGGGCCTTAGGAAATAGTGTTGATTACCTCTAAATATTGCAGTAGTACATCCAAAAAACCTCAGAGGATAAAATTAAGGAGTACCAGCCAAATGCGTACATACGTCCACATGGTTCAGTGCAGTGCTGTGTTGAGATATCCAAGCCATGCCCAAACAGGCTGGTTTCGCTACCAGCACAGTGCTGTTACATGTAGACACTGTGGTGTGTCTTTGAAGCAGGATAGCCTGTGTCATTGCAGTATTTAGACTAAGCCCAGTTATCATCCCCACGCACCATGATGCTGCAGCCACACAGCTCCTGTGTATCAAGGTATTTTGCTCAAAAGTTAGTTCAGATTTTTTTTTATTGTACTGCATTGCTTCACATTGGTATAAAAGGTTTAGAATAGCCTCCTTCTGTGAGCTCCAAATATGTATTTTTGGCTTTTGTCTGTTTTATACTCTTAATTGATTTTTTTTCCTGATGTTGTTTTTTTATTGTGCAGAATTTGAGAAGAATGGGAGGCAAGGGATTTTGTTTATTTGAGGGTTGCTAAAGCAGTAGGACCCAGACTGCCACATCTCAAAGCTGGCTTCGTAGTGGGGCTGTGACTTGGGTTGAGTTTTGAAATGCTTCAGGTTGAGTCATCCATGAGAGTTTAACCAGTCTGGAATTCTGAACCAGAGCAGTGCAGGGCAGTTATGCCCTGTCTGTGCATATATAAAATCTGCATAATAAAACCTGCTGCCTCATTATCTAGCACTTCTCATCAGCATCTCTCAAATAAATTTAAGCAGGAGATGAGTATCACTCTGCCCATACCACAGATGGGAAAACTGAAGCAGGTAGAGAGAAACGTGCATGCTACATGACAGCATGTCAATAGTAAAGTCATGCGTAGGGCCTAGGCACCCTGTGTGTTGGTCTTGTGGTGCACTCCCAGTGCTAGAGGTGAACGTGTCTTATAATTGGTAGAAATATTTTTGAGTTTATATCACCTGCTGCTCCATAAACTAAGACACATGCCAATATTCCCTTCTGTGGGCCATAAAGCAGTATTTCTGTTTTACTAAATTTAACAGCAGCCAGGTTTGTTGCTATTTTTTAAGTGCTGAAAAATCTCATTAATATGCTAAAACTGCAACCACAGATTTGTTTTTAATTATTATTACTATTTTGTTTTCCTATTTAATTCTTATAAATCTTGAGACACAGTGTATTGAGGCCCTGTTGAGATCAGATCATGAGGAAGCAATGATATATTAGGTCTCTCCACATTTATGTTCGGGGCTGTGGGAGTTAACAAACTGGGGATCTACTGTAGCTGCAAATGGACCACTTGCTTCCTGTCTGGAACCAAAAAGCAACTGAAAATAGCCACCCGCATTACACAGTTACTTACCTGTGTTAGCTAACTTCATTTGTAAAAGATTATTGAGTAACAGGTGAAAGTACCAGAGTCTTAAGTCTTAAAATCCACAAGAGGTCAGTTCTCCATTATGTACTGTACTGGAAAGCTGAGCTGTGTCAGGTAATGGCTGAACCCAAGCAATACAAGTCCCACTGTTGCTGAACTGGAACTGGTGCCTGCAGATCTATCTCTGATATTCTGCTTCCAGAAGGATTTATTAAGTCTTGCATGACTCCATGTGGATGCAGAGAGCCAGCTCATAAGTCACTGTGGAAGCAGAAGCAACGGGGTCTGACTCTGTTTCATATAGCTTGACAGGGTGTATAAGGTAGTGCTAACCCATCACTTCATCCTTTCCAGTTTCAGGATGGTTTATTACTTCACGCTCAGCATTAATTGAGGTAGAGAATACAGCTTCAATGGGCTTTTGACAGCTCCCCAACAAAGCTGAGAAGAACAGGTGTATTCCTGGTATTTGATAATCAGTGAATGTATAGTACATTATTTATGAGTGTCAAAGACATATCGGACTGGATAAAGTTCTTTTGAGAAGACTGTGTCTGACCAAGAAATCTCGTGTACTAACTCCACTCAGCTGTAGTTGGACGTGCTGACACTTCCTAACCTTATGCAGTAATTGTGGAGTGAGCTGAAAAGGAGAAGCTGGGCTGAAAGGGGACTGCCCCAGTGCACCATTTTGTGCAATGTACTGCGGTACTGTGCTCCATTGCATAGTAAGTGGTTTGAAATAGTTTCCTTCCTTCAGAGGACTGGTTTGGTTTCAGCAAGAACAGAAGAGGGAGCTATTTCCTAAGCAGAGTCCATGTAATCTGTTTCCAAAGCAAAACGGGGACATTCCTGCCAGATGATTTGAGTTAACGCCAGTAGAGCATTTGAATTCATGCCGAGCTCTGAGCTGCTGAAAACTCTCACTGAAATCAGCAGGACTGCTGATGCTCCTGAAGTTAAGTGGAAGTAACAGAGAGTGGAAGTGAGACTCCAAATAAACACTGACTATTACAGTATAAGGCCTGGCTCTTGCAAGACTTTTATATCCCTTTGGCCAAATCCTGCAGTGTTTGAGAGCCTTTCAGGATTTGGCCAGAATGCTTGAGCATTTTGAGGCATGAAAAATTACAATGTAGGAGCAGATATTTGTCTGGATCCTCTTCCATTCTCTGTTACTGCTACCTGACACCTCTGACATAAATGCTAATCTAAGTATTTAGACGAGTAGCTGAAAATCTATATAGGATTAACCACAGCTAGTTCATTCACAGGCATCTGCAATTCTGTTTTTCTTTCCCACAGAAAACTAAAGACATACAAATCTTAGTTTTCCTTCCATTTGCTGTACTTTTTCATTCTCTTTTCTCATATGCAAAAAATGCTATTGTTGCATACAGGCTGCAGGCATCCATTGTCTACATATGAGAAAAAAATGAAGCAAAACCACTGCTATGCTTCAAAAGACAAAGCTGAATGTTATCGAATGAATGCTTACAATCTGAGTGGGCAGAAATACCTAGCTATAAAAATATCCTGGGGAAATACAGATCCACACTATTTTGACTCACACGTTTTAATGAAAGAAATGATTGTGGTTTTTTTTCATCAGCTATCTAATTCTTAGCTACTGCATGAAGTGTGTGCGGCAGGGTAATGTGTTGAGAGGCCAGATTTGTGACTTGATATTTCAATCTTACAGTATCAACATGAAGTTAGACCTCTGAGTACCATATTTCACATAAAAGTTTGTCCTCATTAAGAACTGGTGGTTCTGCCTTTGTTCAAATAGATACCGTTTAGCTATCTTGACAATGAGGAGGCATTTGGATTTCTGTGATGACCCAAATTAAATGCTTACCTGCAAAGAGGGCTGTGTAATTCAAGAGTGAGCACTAAGTTTTCCAAAATGACAGACCAACACACCCACCACAGATAGGAAAAAAAATGCAAATTCATTTATTTGCATTGCTATTACTGCAATTCCTTGTTTCTTTTTAGGAAAATGGAATCAAGTTAGTGAATCAATCAAATGGAGACTGATGATACACATGTACTCTTTGCTTGTTTGTTGAACTGCTGCTGCTGAGAGCATCTGCTTTCAAATTGAGGTAGTGATGGCTTAAAAGGCCAGTGCTTAACTGCAGTTATTACCTAATTGCTCATAACTGTAATAAAATCCTGACTTTTAATAGAAAACCGCTTGTTATTTTTTCAGTATACTCTGGACTTAATGTTGATCACCCTGCCTGACATATTGTCATGACATAACAAGTGCACTGCATTCCTTTAATCACAGAAAGATAGAGGTGAAGAACAATTTGTTCATCTGGATCTTCATTTATCTACATAGTACCTGGCAATATGATGTCTAAATTCTTCCCCAGAAAAGGGAAATAATGATCGCAAAGAATTAGAACAAAAGGATTATTTTCTTCCTTGTATTACAGGGGGAACAGAAATTTTTGTTCTGTTGGGTCAATGATAGCTCTCTATGTCATGATTGTATTCTTTTCCATGTCACTAGGAGTTATTCCATAAAGGAAGTATAATATGCTGTAGAGTTTGCATACCTACTCAGATGTAGTTGTGAATGCAATCTATATGCCTTTTTTTTTAGAATTCCCTTATTTTTAATTAATCCAGAAAAAAAGCAATATAGGTGACAGCAAATCTTCATGTATCCTCAGCTGTAAGCAAACAGCAGCTAATTTAATTTCTCGATTCATAGAATCATAGAATCATAGAGTACCAGGTTGGAAGGGACCTCGAGGACCATCTAGTCCAACCTTTCTTGGCAAAAGTACGATCTAGACAAGATGGCCCAGCACCCTGTCCAGCTGAATCCTAAAAGTGTCCAATGTTGGGGAATCCACCACTTCCCTGGGGAGATTATTCCAATTGTTCTCATTGTGAAAAATTTTCCTCTTGTGCCTAATCGGAATCTCCTTAGGAGTCCTTGTACCCATTACCCTTTGTCTTTTCACGTGACTCCTTGTAAAAAGGGAGTCTCCATCTTCTTTGTAGCCACCCTTTAAATACTGGAACATGGCAATAAGGTCTCCCCTAAGCCTTCTTTTCTCAAGGCTGAACAAACGCTGTTCTCTTAGCCTTTCCTGATATGGCAGGCTTCCCAG